CCGCAGCGGTGAGCAGCACCATGTCTGAGACCGCTCTCATATATGTAGCTGATGATGCCCTCAGGCTGCTAACAGCCAGCTTTCAGGCTCTTGCCGGCTCTTGCCTAGCGCGGCGCTGCGTAGCATTAACATTTATCATCATTCTCGTCGAGTCGTTCATTCGCACTGCACGCATATACCCACTGCATCTGAGACCGCCGGCCATCTATGCTGAAGTACAAGAAGAACCCAACACCGCAAGAACTCTATCGCGCGAGGAAGCAGCGGGAGGAGGAGGAGAAGGATGCCCACTTGCCGCCGGGACTTATCAACCATGGCAATACCTGCTTCATGAACTCGACCCTGCAAGGTGTGCGTATCATTCCCATCCGCGTGCCCGCCGCGCTGCACGGTGCTGACGCGTACACAGCTCATGGCCACCGAGCTGCTGCACAACCTCGTCAACTTCGAGCCCGTTCCGCCGACGCTGCAGAACTCGACCGGGCTGTCCGTCGTCGCGAGGCGCTCGCCGCAGCTCACGAACGGGCATGGGCTCGGCGGCCCGAGCGAACGTGCCTGGGTCGAGGGTATGCCATTGGGCGACGTATTCATTCAGATTATGAGGAAGGCGTGGGATATACAGGAAAGCCGGCGCAGAGAGAGCATGAGCCCGAAGTAGGTGCCCTCCCTTATGTGCCGGGGGCGCGAACTGACTGCTGTCAAAGGGACGTACTGTTGGCGATTGGCCGCAAGTATGATCAATACCTTGGTTTCCGGCAGCAGGACGCGCACGAGTTTCTGCGCCATATGCTCGACGCGATGCGCATGGAGGAGCTTGATGTACGTAGGCACATTGCGTCCTGAACGTCAATTCTCATCTGCCGGGACAGATCATTAAACAACGACAACCTCCGCCGCCCAAAGAAACGCGAAAACGGTCGCGCCGGAAACCCGTACCGTCGACATCAATTCCTGGCTCACTAGACTCCTCCACACACGCATCCACCTCCTCGCTCGCGTTCGCACCTGCGAGCTCTGGTCCGTCCCCACCCTCGCCCGACGAGAAGCTCGAGTCCTTCGTCGACATGCTCTTCGGTGGACGCCTCGCCAGCATCCTCGTGTGCGAAAAGTGCAAAAAGGTCTCGCTGACATACGAGGATTTCAACGACCTCAGCCTGAGCATCAAGCCCGAGGACTACGGCAAGGGACGCAAGCGCGACCGTCTGCGGATGTTCGCGCGGCGGCTGCGGTTCCGCCCGGCGGGCCATCGCGCGTCGTCCGTCCCTGCGGCGGTGCGCCGCAGTACCGAGGACGCGGCGCGCGAGGAGGAGCCGCCTGTGCTGGAGGACCCGCGCAGGCGGAGCTTTGACGGCGCGAGCGCGGAGATGGACGAGGCACGCGATGAGGTGCGCGAGATGGCAGGTGAGGGCGTGGCGGTACCGGAGTCCGGGTCCGCGGTGGAGGAGGACGAGGAGGAGAGCGAGGAGAGCGAGGGCGATACACGGGAGGGCCGGTCCGGGCCCGCGCCCAGCGGGAAGGGCGGCAAGCGGGAGAGGGAGGACGGCGAGCAGGAGAAGGAGAAGAAGGACAAGGACAAGGACGACCCGTGGGGCAAGCTCGGGCGTCGGCTGAGCATGTCGGTGAAGATGGGCTGGATGGACAAGGAGATGCGGCGGCTGAGCCGGTCGCACGAGCGCGAGCGGGGGCGGCAGAGGGACGTCAAGGGCGACGGCGCGCAGACACCAAATGGTGACGCGGCAGACTCCCGAACATCGCCTGCCGCGTCGAAGCAGGCCGCAGAGAGCACCTCGTTTGCAGGCGAGGCGAACGACGAGCGGACGCGCAACGCTTCGGCGTCCCCTGCGCCTGTATCCCCAACTTCCACACCGACGACAGCGGTCCCCCCTGCGATGCGCCTCCCGAACATCCGGCGGTCGTCGGGCTCGCCGTTCATCCACATGCGGCACAGCCAGCACGGTCACAAGTCGCCTGGCGCGCCAAAGCAGTCTGCGGAGGAGGCTGCGTATCTGCGGCGGCTCCTTGCGGACATCCACCCGTCGAACAGCAATCCGCTTTCGGTGCTGCAGAGCGCGTTCGCGGGGGGAGCGATCAATGGAAGCGGCGGGTCGCCGACGCCCGTGACGGCGCAGGCGATCTGGACGAAGATGGGGCATCTGCCTGGTATTGAGGAGTGCCTCCGGATGTTCACCGCGGTCGAGATCCTCGACGGTGAGAACATGGTCGGCTGCCATCGCTGCTGGAAGATTGCGAACGGCTTGTATAAGCCGAAGCGCCCGGAGCGGGAGGAGGAAGACGATGATGACGCGGAATCGGAGAGTGATGAGAGCGAGGACAGCCCAGCGAGAGCTGGACAGGATGCCGAGTTCCAGGGGCAGACGAGCAGCGGCTCGGACGCACCCTTGTCGTCCCCGGACGACTCTCTCCGCGGTCGAATATCTCCTGCATCGGCCCCGGCCGTCGACATGACCGCGTCCGTTTCTTCCGACTACTTCTACGATACACAGTCGGTATCTTCCGCTCCTACAACATCCACGTCCCCGGAGCACTCGAGCACTCTGCCAAAGCGAAAGCGAAAGCCACCTCATCTCCAGCCCCCAGCACCTTCTCCCGATCGGCCGACAACCTATGGCGGGCTCCCCATCCCTTCCATCTCCACCACCGCCCCGGAGTCACCCATCTCTCCGCCGGCGCACCTCACCGAAGCGCCCGCACCCACCGACACGCACGCGGACGCGGCGGCGGGCCTCGGGGTGTCACCCTCGGACGACTCGCTGTTGACCCCGCGCGCCCCGCCGGCGCATGCGCGCAGGCGCAAGGGCCACGCAGAGGAGGAGGCGGAGGACAGCAGCTCGAGCTCGGACGAGAGCCTTGCCGGATCCGAGAGCTCAGCGTCCGCGAATACGTCCTTCTCCGACGCGTCCTCCATCGCGTCGCCCGCCGCGTCGCCCACCGTGTCGCCGAGAGCCTCTGTGGAGCGACTGCGCTCCGCCGCGCCCTCGCAGCAGTCCACCCGCGGCCCGCGCAGGCGTGTGGCCGGGACGAAGGTCCCGAAGGCGCAGCAAGTCGTGCTCCGCCGGACGTACAAGCGGTACCTGATCGCGGTGCCGCCGCCGGTGCTCGTTGTGCATTTGAAGCGGTTCCAGCAGGTGTCGCGCGGGCACAGCGTGACGTTTTCGGGCGGGTTCAAGAAGCTGGACGACTTTGTCGCGTTCCCGGAGTACCTCGACCTCGCGCCGTTCCTCGCGCCGCGGAGAGAGGAGTTTGGGTTGGGCCATGGCGCAAAGGACGATAAGGCGAGGAAGAAGGAGAAGGAGGAGACGGAGCCATGCATGTATCGCCTGTATGCGGTTGTGGTGCATATCGGCAACATGGTAAGTCTGACCTGCGGTCCCCGAAAGCTGTGGTAGTACTGATTCGGCGTGGTATGTAGCTCGGTGGGCACTACGTCGCTTACACCGCCCTGCCTCCCTCGCATCCTCCGCCCGAGCCCTCGAGCTCTGGGTCTACGGGCCAAGACGAGCCGCCTGCGTCGCCCAAGCTGAGCCTGCAGCAATCCAAGGAGGGCGCAGAACAAAAGTCGAAGAGGCCTCAGCGGCAGTGGGCGTATATTAGCGACACAGTCGTGCGGCTCACCACCATCGAAGAGGTGCTCAAGGCCAAGGCGTACATCTGCATGTACGAGCGGATATGAGCCTGGATCCTGTATCGCGCCTGGGTCACGACTCTGCTCGGCTGCGACCAAATGTTCTGTAGCTAATCTGTGCGGCACACCCGAGCGGACTTGCTTTACCTATGTATCGCGTAGCCATAGCTAACTTATCTTTCATGATTCCCGCAGCTCAAAGCATGTGCAGACCGTGTAGAGCGCTATTTGCCGTATTGTGTACATCTAGAGAAAAATAATGCTATTCGCAGGCCGAACGGTCACCTTCCAGTACACCGAGAAATGTCCCCGCCAAAAATACACTAAAATACACCCAGAGTGGTTAGGTTCTCCGCCGCTTGGACGTGCTCGCGTCGAGCGCATCTGCCTTGCGCTCCTCGACACGCTGCAGGAACTCGATCTTCTCGAGGTACCCGCCGCCGCGCCGGTTCGCCTCGAGCTCGTCCTTCAGGCCAGAGTCGCCCGCGGTCCGGACGTGTGCGCGCCAGTCCATCGCGGACTTGTCCAGCGTCGTGAGCTTCTTGGCCTTCTGCGCGCCGGGCAGCGGGGCGAGCGTCGTTTTTGGCTTCCGAGGCCCGGGGCGTTTTGCTGGGGGCTTGGAGCTCGACGCGGTAGGTGCGGCAGATACGCTGGCGCTTGAAGCTGGTGCAGGCTCGGAGGTGCTGGGGGTATCTGCAAGTTGTGGTGGTGGTGGAGACGCATCCTTTAGAGGTGTTTCTTCCTGAAGTGCTTCGGGGGACTTCCACAGAGGCCACTTCTTTGCGGCTTCGGAACCCTCGGGCACTTCCTCGATTTCTCTGTGAGACGTTTACTTGTCAGTGACAGGACGGATATGAGAGTACACTCACACAACGTCTTCGCCGGCGAAACGGAAGCGTTTCTCGATTTTCACCATGCGCGGGGCAGGTGTGGCGGAGGTAGACGTGGGCGCAGAAACCGATGCCTGGAAGTCGACCCATAGCGCCTGCCTTGTCCTGCTCATGCAGCAGGGTATCAGTACCGTTGTAGAATCTTACAGCGTGCAATGAGAACGAACTCTGTCGTGCCACCCCTGGCTGTCTGAGGAATAGCGTTCAGATGTGGTGGTGAACACTTTCTGGCACGTTTCGCGAACCGTTCATCGCCCGAGCCATAATCTGCACACAATCAGCATGCTCCAGAGATACAACGGGACAGGACATACTTGCGTCTGGAGGGGGCACGTAGTCCGGGTCATCCTCTGAATCCGAGCTGAGAGGCATGTTTCAGCGAGACTAGCGCAGCGCGGAGATTCATCTTGGGCAAGCATGTCTCACCATAGAACGGCTATATATGATGAATGGGCCAACTTGCTATGTCTCTGTTAGTATATCGGTTAGTACACGCGCCTGTCAGACTGGGGTGTTGAACCCCGGATGCAAACGCGCGAAAGCGGGGTTCGACTCCCCGACAGAGAGCTTTATTTTTGCTGAAATCAGAATTCTTTTTCAAAGACGAGGCGACAGAGAGTACGGTGGAGTCCGAACTGGTTTTTCATTTTTGGCTGTCTTACGTCGAGTTGGTCGACGTTCTACTCCTGGATTTCACAAGACCACCTACTTTATATCATTGTGAGGCTTATATAGTATCGAGGGGCGACATCATTTGCGTTGGCAGCGGGAAGACAAGATGGGAAGTCCCGATAGCAGACAGTGCGCCAGCGCCAGCGCCGCCAAAAGATAGCACGGATCCACCTCCCCGGCGGGGAGACGAACCCCATCTTTGCCATGGAAAGCGGGGTTCAACTCCCCGACAAAGAGCCAGCTATAATACAATGCCTTGTATCTTGAGGTTGGTGGGTCGTTCTCCTCCTGACTTTACAAGGACACCTATTTTGCATTATGAAGTGACTAGTAGAGATGAAGAGGTGGAGGGGTCCGTGTCGCGCGTACAGGGTGACTTCCTGTGCGGTAGGCATGCTGATGGCAAAACACAGAGCAAGCAGGTCTTTATATAGACGTGCAGGCTCCCTGTCCCACGAAAGACGGGGTTCGTCTCCCTGACAGAGTGATTGGGATCAGTTGTCTTGTTTTGATTTCCTTGTAGCAAGTTGCCCGGCTATTCACTTTGCTCGCTCACAAGGACGCCTGTGCCCGTAGTTCGGATTTTTTTACACCGTCCAAATATATAGTTCTTTTTTGTGTCATCGTTCTCACCTCCTTGAATGCAAGGACAAGTACCAGATTTTGCCTGCATTTCGATCAGGGCTCAATCCAGAACATTCAGATTTCAAGCATGAACTCAAAATTTCGCGTGGCTTGCAGCGTGATCACATCGTCCCATGCTACGGTGCCTCACTCGCGGTGAAGCTACCTTTCCTCGTCTTGAAATACATGCCGAATGGGGATCTACTACAGCATCTGCAGCGGAACAATGATGCAAATCGCGCAACGCTAGTGAGTGGTGATAAAATATCACACTGGACTGCTTAGAGATATGCCTCTCAGTTGCACGAAGTGTCCCTCGGACTTCTGTTCTTGCACTCTAAGCAGATTGTGCATGGTGATGTGAAAGCCGTATGTATTAAACAGACCATATACCTCGCAAACAATCAACCATCTGAATCTCTGGACTTCTTAGAACAACGTCCTCATCGACGATGCAGGGAAGATATTTCTTACAAACTTTGGTCTGGCTACCAGGTATCAAAACATAACGATCAGCCGAGGACGGGATCCTCCTATCGGCACACTGTGCTTCATGGTGCCTGAGACGATCAGTGAGGGTCGTCATACATATGCTTCGGACATATACGTGTTCGGAATGCTCATGTACGAAGTGAGCCCACCATGATATTCAGTTGAAAACTGAAATTGCTGACAAATATAATGCATTCCTTCAGGCCTATACACTCAAACTCCCGCATTGGGATGTCTCAGACGTTGACATGAAGGCAGGAAAGCTGAACCTCGAGTGCCCTCATTTAGAGGATGTCATCGCTAGAGGCATGAATGAGGACGTGTGGGCACTGCACGTGTTGTGCACGTCTCGGAAGCCTGAATTAAGACCAACTGCAAAACTGATATCAGGGAGGCTCGATGGGATCATGGAGGCCTATGCTGTGGATCCCTTGCTACCAAAGTTAAACTTTGAGATTGGTGGGTGCCCTTAAACTTTACTTGCAGTGTTCGCCTGATGGTAGAACCTCCCTGTAGGGTTACCGTCACCGAACATTTGTGTTCAAAGCTCCTCTTACAACGGAGGCCTGTTGGTTGTGCCAATGGCATTTTCTGATGGAACTTCTACGTCTCGAAAGTTGGCTGCTGCAAAGGACAAGATTGACCCCGTCTGCCTGCAGGTAATTGGAGCGAATGCCTATTATCTCCAAGTCAGCTCAGTAGAAAATGACCGGCACCTGATTCAGATACAGTCAATTCAGTCTCATACACAGTACACAGTAGTACTGGTGGTTTAAATAGCATGCAGACCATTCAACTCGACAACACGACAGTAACAAAGATCTCATGCCTCCGCGATGATGACACTGAGTTATCCACAGTCGAAGAAGATGCCTTTCCTAATGTGCGACGTGCTCCTGGTTCACCTTCCTGAAAATTGAATGCGAGGAGGCAGCAGCCGAGTACGAAGAAGCTGGGCGCAGTGGAGCAGTCCTAGTGCCGTCTAGCACACGCAAACCCAGTCTGAACTAGTCCTGATGCAGTGATCGTGCCCCTCCGCATACATGATGCGACCTGAACCCTCCTCCATGCCTATGGTGCTGACTAATCCTCTCCCTCACCCCTCTAGCGCTCTCTCCCGGCACTCCTACTCCATGCGGCCCCCTCAAAAATGCGATGTTCCCATCGCTAAGCTGCCCCTTCCTCCAAATTGTCTGCGAGGTGACTGAGTGCCTCGGTGGCATCTGCGATCTCCGTGAAGCAGGGGCTCTCCGACGGTGACATTCTAGTGAAGGCTCGCGGGCTGACCAGTCCGGGTGGCGGTAACGTCAGGTTGGTCGCCGCGCAGCCGGTATATGTGCTCCTAATCTGCGAGACACGCGCAACGGTAATGCGGTCCGTGGGTACGTCTGCGATGGTGTCTGCCATGAAGAGGCACATGACGTGCAGCGGCCCGCGATAGACCCGGGATGTGTATACCCACTTGTTCAGGGCTTGCAGATAGATGTGCCCGATGCTAGCTCCCTCTGCCAGGAAGACCGTCCACCTCTTCTCGCGCTTCCATACATACTTCAAGCTGGCTGATACACCCAGTGGCCCTTTCTCCTCCTCATTGACCAGTACCACCATCTCCCCAATTCAAAGCTGCTGTGCAGGATGGGATGTGATCGCCCAGGTTGCGAGTTGGCCAAAGGTTGCAGTTCCTCGTCGCACAGCATGGACTGCGTTCTATCATTCAGCAAGCAGCTCAAGAGCTAATGTGGTGGGTGGGGAGGGGGGCTGCATTAATGTGGTTGGGGTGGCGCTGTTGCTCGCCGTCCACAATTATATAGAGTTAGTATTATATTACCAGGGATGCAATCATCAGAAGTAGTCGCTAGTTGGGACGTGGAACGTAATGGTACTAAGCGGCTCACATAGTTAGCGCCACCACGTTTCACATCCCTGTACTGGAGGTTGGTGGTGGTGAAGCCAGAGTCGCAAGATGTGGTGGTGTGGCTATGAGCTGGGTAGCCTGAAGTCCAGCAAGATATCTTGCCTGGTCTAGGGCTAGTTGGGTACCTGGTCATGGTGAGAAGTGTCGCAGGCATCTAGCGTGGAAGGTTCCATTGATGGGCGTGCCCTCCAAGGTGGCTAGCCTATATGAATTGTGGAGTCGGCTGCTGATACGCTGCAGTGGTGACCATTTCGGCAGTAACTTCCTGTCGGTGCAAAATGTGTAGTCAAGGTCATTGCGGTAGATCTGAACCAGGTCTCCGGGTGTGAAGGACACTGCACCCACTCTACTTTCGAGAACGCACCGGTCAAATGCCTGTTTTTGCCGTACTGCCTGCGCCACAGTGGCTGCTGCACCGTCCAACCGTTGTTGGCTTGCATATGCCATGTGTACATCCACTTCTTTAGCGGAGACGGCTTCCGCAAGTACTATGATGGGTGTGCGCGGAGTATTTATAGCCAGTCCAAGCAAGAGCTCTTGTGGTGAGAACTGGAATGATGGGAGGATGCGCTGGTTGAGACACTGGATCGCTGTGTCCAAATGTGTGGGCCAGGAGTTGGGTAGAGTGGTCCAGTCGCCATCCTTCCATCCTTCTATCCTTGCTCACCCAGCTCAGAGGCGCATAGTCGCTTTAGCACATGGAGCAATAGCTTGTTGGTGCCCTCCACCAAACCGTTGATCCAGGGCACATAAGCCAAGATGACGTGGGGCTGGATGTTCCATTCCTTGCAAAATGCACGCACCTCGTTGCTATCGAAATGCTTGCCGCCATCGGTCATGAACGTTTCCAGTAGTGCAAAGGTGGTGCATATCTGGCGTAGTCCATTTGTAGTTGTCTTTGAAGTACCCGCCGTACGGTATTTGAAGCCCCATACATTGTGGGAGAACACATCAACAAAGAGCAGGACTGTGTGATATCCTCCTGTACCTTTTGGCAAGGATAAATAATCAGCAATCATCAGTTTGAATGGGTGACATCGTGTAATGGGGTTAAGTAAGGAGTGGAGATGTGTTGGTCCGAAGTTCTTGCATTGTCCGCACGTGCGAATCGCCTCTAAGATGGACTGGTCCAAATTGGGGCTCCAGATGTGGTCTATCAGTGCGATTTTGACTGAATCTCGGCCCCAATGTTCACCCTTGGCATGCTGTGCTCGGGCCATCTCGATGGCCTCTGCTCATATGATGCATTCCACCTGGGATCGTGTGCGGCCACGGGATCCCCCGAATAGCTTCCACAGCTTCCCTTGATCAATACTGTATTGTGATGCCCTATGCCATGCTCAATGAGACAGAAGTGTAGATCTGTCCTCGTCTAGCTCTAGCAATGCTTCCACTACTTCTCGCAAGAGTGGCTCTTGCTCAAAGTGCTGAAGTAGTGGATGCTGCGGGTTCATGATAGTTTCCTCAACTAAGAATAGGTCATTAATCAGGCCTGAGTTTGCCTCCCAGTCCTCGCACACCGACCATGTGCTGCCATTATTATTTGTGCGTGGCAGTCCTTCGCGGCATCTGCTAAGTCTATCCGCAACTATATTGATCCGCCCTGGCACGTGGTGGACATCAACGATGCAGTGCGCCAAAACACTATCCCGCTATCGTGCATGTACTGCATTCAGGCGATCGTTCAATAGGACATCCCGTAGGGCTTGACAGTCAGTTTCTAGTTCGACTGGAAAGCCCCACACAATATCTGTAAACTTGTCTAATCCGAACTTTAGGACTGCGAACTCTAAGATAAAGGGTTTATACTGCTCTTCCACCAATGATGTGTGCTTGGATGCAAAGGCAACTGGATGTAACCGTT